TACTATAATTTAAAAATGCAAATCCAGAGCCTAAGTAAATTTGAACTATAAACTATTATTTACTTCTCTCATTATAATAAATCAATTTTCATAATAAATAGTCGTCTTAATAGAAGCTATCGATTTCATTTTATATTACACAATTTTATTCATTACTCTTTAAACTACGAGTCTATTAAAATGACAAACTAAGCAAGTTCTACGACTCAGAATTATTTTGGACTATAAAACGATGACTTTCAACTCTTTCGTTAATCAACTTCAATATAAATGTCTTAAATTTCTTGATATTTTAAAATATAACGAAATAATAACTCAGAGAAGAATTATAAATCAATTAAAAGGTTTATTAAATCAATTGGAAAATTTATTTGACAGGGAAAACGTCAAGTCTTTGTTAGAAACTAAACATAAACAAATTCAGTCGTTTGTCAATTAACATATAGATGGAATCATATTTATTTTATAATATGATGTATTTCTTATAGTGTAAAAAGTAGAAATGTAGTCCAGAAACACCTATGATTTTTTATAAAAGCTTCATTCAATTGTAATTAGATTATAAGTGTTTTGTATATTTTTCACTAACGAACTTGTTAACTGGTAAGCTAGAAAAAATAAAATTGAGCTTCGTCAGAGTTGCACTTAGATATCGCATCGATACTTAATTAATTTGAAATTCAAGCTCTCTATATTACACCATCGTACAGAGCACAAAGTTTTATTAGAACTTTATAGAAAGTTCAGGGAAAAATCTGAGAATGATAATTTTATAAGGATATATTTCGATCGTGATGAATACTCTGATGATAAATTCGTTAATGCTTTGGTTACATACAAAAATCTGCAGACACATAGGCAATATTAGCATCCTCAATTTTGCCTTGATACTCATAGTAAGTGAACTCAACACTAAGTATCTTCATCAATAGAAAATGGTCATATATAGTGCTAAAACGATAGCCTTAATAGACTGAAACGAATACTATTACTGAACACATAAATGGTACAATTACACTTGAGCTGCTCCTCAATGTATTTGTGCGTAATTGAATAAAGAAAATATTGGAATGATTTACATGGATAAAATTTGGAGCACTTTCAAGGCATAAGTAAAAGTTTGTTTTGACTACGATAATGATCTTTTGTTAGAGTTACCCCTTTTTATATCTAATTTTGATGTTTGTACCAAGTATGTCAATATACTTATCGAGGGAAAACAAATTTCTTTGTTTTCCAAGATAATAGAAAATCAATAATTTAAGAAGTTGGTGGAGTATACTTTTAAGTCGTTAGGGTTGATCCTAAGGTACATGTCTTTTCATCGCATCTAAATAGCTTGTTGAAGAATAATTGCTCTACGCTGGCTCATCAGAATATCTAAACAATGAAGAAGAGATTTCACTCTTAAGTATACCCTTTTTTGAGTACTTTGAAAAGCAAAGAGTAGATTCGCTATACACAATAGTGAGTGCACTAACCCTGTTCAATTTTCTTTCTATCTTTCATTCTGTTTTTTGCTGTATAAAAACAATAAAATTTTTCAACTCGTGAATTACCTCTGTTCGCCTCTAAATACTCATGCCGAGTACTTGTAAATAGCATTCATAAAATATGGTCGATTTTTTGATATCGTTTTTTATAAAAACGTTTTTGAATTTTCAAATATTTATAATTGTCATTTTAACTTGGAAAAGTAAAATAAATGATTTATTTCACAAGCTTCAATTTCTTCAATATTCACTCTGTCAATAACGGGAATATAAATTACATTTTGAAATCACACATACATTGACTTGAATAATTGAAAACCACTAATTAAAATGTGTTTCGATCAAGTATGACTCAAATCAATGCAAACACAATTAGGTTCATAAAAATGGTTATGTTTGGAATGTCAATAAAAATATAATAAATATCAAAAAAGGCTGGGTGCAACTAGTGTACCTACACTCCCAATTTTCCATCTAGTTCCTGTAAAAATTAAAAACCACGTTACTTATCCTGTATTTGAATGATCTATTTTTGGAATCGTTTTGTAATTTAAAAAAAAATTTACTGAATTTAATTTGAAAATAAACTTGATCGAGTCTTAAAAAAAGTTCATAAACTTACGAACAGACAAGTACACGTAAACTTATACCCATCGACATCTCTCGAAAAATGATATCCTAACTCTGGTAACTTTGAAACGTGGAGATATGAAAAAATTTCCAATTCCAAAATCGGACCCATTACAATAACTTCCTCAATGGGGAATTGAAAATACTTTTTCTATTTTTTTTTTAAATAAAATTGTAAGTGTCACGAGATTTGTTGGTAGTATAAACATGCCAACAGATGAATGGAAAATAAAAAAATCGTTAGAACACAAAGTTAATCTTTTTGTAAAGAATTTCATTTTTTTGAATTATCCAAACTTTGTTCTAACGAATGAAAAGTAGTTTAGTGCATTTTTAGCCATTTATTGTTTTAACAATTTTTCTTTTTTTTAAGTGGTATCTATTTATTGTTCATGCTAGTCAAGATCAAACAATTGTGAAGAGATTTTAGAAATAATTAACAGGGAATTAAATAGTTTTTCACTTTGTAAAAACACATAAACAATATTCTTCTCATTTTTCAAATAAAAATAAAAGAATGATTTTAAATTCAATTTTTACATGCAATACAAGCAAGACTGTACATTCCCTTGGTCTAAATTTGGGGTATTTTGACTGAAAAACTGATAAACGTAAACTATCAATATGTTCTGAACACTTTTTAATATAACGATACCATGAAGTAATGAACACAACTATTTCAATTGGTATCAGTGCAAATATTTGAAAAGTACAACTATCGATTGGTAATAAAATTTTTTTAAAAAAAATCATCAAAAAATGGCAATTCAATAGCTATAGCTATTATGGGATATATCTATACCCAAATCAGAAAGTTCTATTTGTTTAGGTCTAAAATTGATAATTTAATCTGTTTTATTCCATAATTAGTCTGATTATTTCTTTGATTCCGAATTCAATACTGTTTATCTATACCACACTTTAGCTCATCTGATGTTGTCCTTATATTCATCTGTTTTTAAACGTTCTTTTAATTTCACTTTTATCACTCCTTTTAATTGACGTAATAACCGTTAACCATTTAACTTGATTTTTTTCGTTCTAAGGAAAATAACAGACGGAAAGAGATTTGTTGTTCTCCATATATCTGAAACTTGTAGAGAAAAACAAACTTGAATATCCAGTGATATCAGTAGTAAAACAATAACTTTTTTTCAAAAACATTTAGACTTCATCAAGGAATTGTAAAACATTTTACTTGTTCATTATTTTAAAGATTAACATAAGTTCAAAATGACATGATTCAATTATTTTAGTTTATAAAAATTATTGAAAATATGATTCCTTGATGAAGTCTGAATTTATTTAAAAAGACTTCTGTTTTACTTTTGATGTCATTGAACATTCAATTCTGTTATTATACTTTTAATGGACAAAATCAGGTGGAATTGGTTAAAGATGATTGAATCTGATTACTCTACGTACATATGTACATCTAGATATTCATTTATTTGTTGGATATGAATCTTTATCTTCAATGATTATAATTTAATAGAATATTAAAATATTTGAACATGATTAAAATAGCAGTAGCCAATACCAATAATAATATTAATGATAAAATTTTTATCGTTATTGAAATGCATTAATTTGTTTTATAGTATGGATTTTTTTCAAATTTATGTTATTCTAGTCCATAATTTTCGTATGAATTTTCTTTCAATTACACTATTTTTCCTGTCTACACCTATCGAAAAGCTTTCTGTTTATGAGGAGTAATAAGAAAAATCAAAACACAGTATTTTTCTAGATTTGGATTCGAACTCACAACCCTTGAATTTCTAGTCAAAAAAGCTGTCATTGCACCATTTATACTTTATAAATGTTGTTGTTGTATTTAGTATTTTTAATTGTACTTTATATTCTACAAACGAATTTACTTTGTTTTTTATTGTTCCGTAGAATGAATAAATTAACCATTAAAAACACTCGTTTTGGTGACACTTGTAAAACTTTTATCCAAGTTTTGAGAAAAATATCTATGTTCTTTTTTTAAATTGTCGTTATTGAAATTAGGTGATATTTAATGAGGCGTTGATGTTCAAATAAGTATTCTGGATACCATTATTTAATTTCCAGTAATAAATAAAAAAAGGTATTCGTTTATTTAGATTTTGTCTGATATTTTATATGGCTCCAAATGTTATTGTCATATATCTTCGATATCTGTTTTCGTCAGATTTCATGGAAATGGACGACACTTTTAACTGTTTTTTACAATAAAATTTTTTTTGTATTACATCAATTTTATTTTTTAAAAACAAAGAATTTTTATTATTTATTTTTCAAACATCCAATTGGAATACTAATCAAATATTTAAATAAATATTGAAAGTCCACTTCAACCCAATAATTTGAATTTAAATTCAATTATCATTACATCATTTTCAAAACTTAACGAATTTCAATTACTTTATTAAAAAGCTTAAATGATTTTAATATTAAATGAATTACTATGTTTTGTCGAACAAAAGTATTTTTATTCAAATTTTATTTCATAATGGTTGAATTAATTCGAGTAGAAATTTTTGTTAGACCCTAATCAGACAGCGAATTTATCATTAGAATTGCAGTGGTCTTCAGGCATACCTAAGGAAAATTTCTATTCAGAAAGATCAAATAAGATAAGATAATTATGCATTGCATAATTATAGCTGCTAAATGACTAAAAAGTCTAGTCTATTCATCAAATAAGATATTTAATTATATTGCATAGGATCTAATAATTTATTCATATAAACTAAAGTCAAATTTTGGATCAATTATTGGATTTAAATCAATCATTGACTCAGAGTGGTTGTTAATGAAAAGCTCATTAATATTAGAAAAGTATAACTACTTGTAAATATTAATTTTCTATAATTATTTGTTTTACAGGTGGTAACGCGTCATATGAAATGCAAGGTCCTAATTTCATAGTAGAGCCGCAATCAAGAGTAGAATTTACGAATGTAAGTGGTGGTCGTGTTGATTGCACTGTTAGAGGTAACCCTGAACCAACCGTTGAATGGCTGGCAGCGGATGGTGGCAATGTTGCAAGTATACCAGGAATAAGGGTAGTTTTTAGTAATGGAACTATACACTTTCCTGCATTTGAAGCTGAAGCATTTCGCCAAGATGTTCATTGGGCCATTTATAAGTGTTCTGCCATCAACAGTGTGGGTGCAGTTGTCAGCAGAGACGTTACTGTCAGAGCAGGTAAACTGAATCTAGAAAAATAATAAAAATATAACTCATTAAAATTCTTTAAACATCTAGTTGAATGTTCCGTTGGTATTTTCCAGTTCGTTTAGTAATCAGTTCTCTTGGCACGAATTATTTTAAAGTTTACTGTTGAGAAGCTCGACATGAATATTGACGAAGTAGCACATTAAATTTCTCACACAGTTCTTACCTTATATTTTTTTGATCGAATATTTAAATCAACTATCGAAGCTAACGATGTTAATGGAAAAGGTGAAAAATCTCTTGAAGAACACTCAAATACACTTTTAAGAAAGTAGTGGTTTATACAATGAATGACTGAATTAATTTGTTAATTTTAACTTGTTATTTTCTTTGAAGTACACAGAGAGAATTTTTTCACTAAATGTGAGGATAAAAAATGACGAGAGCACGTTTTGAAGTTTAGAAGTGAAAATATTTCTATCCACCAGTAAATTTTGAGCTCTTGTAGGTAAATTTGATACTTATGAGGCGTCTTTGTAAAATAATTATTTACGACAACCAAAAATGTACTGTTGAACAAAAATATTTGTATTGTTGATTGAATTAATAAAGCGACAATTAATTATCAAACGATTGACTTTTATAGCTTCTTTTAATAAAGTTTGATTCGCCAGTATTCTCTCTAAAAATGAATTAGTGAAATTGATTAAAAAGTTACGATGCATCAGCGAATATTCACGAATTTATTTATAGAGAATGCAGAATTTTGAGACTATCTTGAACTTTATATTAAAAGTTGCGGTAAAAATATCACATTCTAGAATCTCAAGAGGTTTTCAATTGATCATTCCTCTTTACCAATTTTAATCAAAGCTAGCAATATAATGATGGCTTAATTTATGAAGTAGGGGAAGGTGGGGTGAAGTGGAACACCAAGAAAAAACATAAATCAATAAATTAAGCATTATATCAACAAATGTTAATATTTTTTAATGCATCAATAAATTTAAAAATTGATTTACAAAAAGTGCAATAAGCGTTTTCGAACTTTTTTTAATGAATTAGTAAATTTTCTCGAGTGTTTTATTTTACCCTCTCTTTCCTTATATAACAATATTCCACAACATAGTTTGGGAAATATTTTCAAATTGTTTTTTGTTGCTAATTCCGAGATATCTCAATAGCATAAGTTTTGTTCATGTTTTAATTATTTATTATTATTTATATCAAGCAATGTACAATTACCTCATATAGATGAAAAATGGTTCCGAGTTAATAATATTCGAATAAAATTAAAGTTGAAAATGTTTTTCCAAGATTTTTTATAATGAAGAGAAAGTAGAAGTATACGTTAATATCAAGTGATTACACCCTCTGCTCTTTTTTTTGGTTTATTACGCTTACCTTTGATCAATATTAATGTACCGTGAGATGAAATCTTTTGATTATGTTTTAAAAAATAATAAAAAATTATCGTTTTTAAATTGAGATGCTGACATAATTTACTCTTAAACATAATTCAACAAATATTCATATTTTTTTCTACTTTTTTTTCTAAAAATCTATCAATAAAAGTAATTAAAAGTCGATGGTGAAACAGTAAAGTAAATAATACTAATTAACACAAATTATCGCATTGACCTCCTTAACACTAGAGTGAATTAAATAACATTGATTCAACAAAAACAGGATGAGTTTTTTGTCTTTAGTAGTAATGAGTGAGTGAATTGAATGATTAATAATAGGAAAATTACGAGAACAATTATTATAATCATTTTTAACAAGACCAAAAAAGAGAATTGATGATGAATTTAATCCTCTAAACTTTTGTCAGATCATTCTTGAGATATTTGATATAATTTATGCTATAAGGTCTGGCTCTCTTCTGATAATAAACACTGATTTTATAAAATGATTAAATGAGTAAGGATATCAATTGAATACTGTTTTTGATTCTTTTAATAGAACAGTTGAATGAAATTGAGAGTTGTATTTTAAAAATCATTCCACTGATCGTCCTAGAACATTTTAATAACCTTCTTATCAGTATTAAGTTAGCAAAGTTATGCGATCTCCGTAAATTACTCGAAAATGAGTTGACCGATTTGATTAAAAATGCAATTAACTTTAAATTGCTCTAAAATGTATCATATATTTACGAACGGATTTTCGCGGAAACTTTTTCTCGTTTAATAAAAATGTAGTATTTCATATTACTTGTTCAAACAATAAAAAAATTTTAGATTCAAATTATCATATTTTCTATTTTATTATTGCACTTCTGCTTGGTAATCTTCATATAGATTCTGCTTTTTATCATACACAAATCACTATTTAGATTATCTACAATTACTTTGTAAACAGATTATTTTCGTCTACTTGGAGAAGATTACCATTTTAATACTGTGCTTTTACAAATGCTACCTTCAAATACATAATTTTAATCATTGTTGCAAGTAATTCAAAATAATCTAAGTTTATCCAACAAAATTAAATAATGAATTTAACAGATATTCATTTCGCTGTAATGACTGATAATCAATAAATATGAAAAAGTTTACTTTCACCACAATTTTATGTTGAATTTGAAACCATTCGTCTACTCTTGTGGAGAAATAGTAAGTCACGAAAAATTGAACTTGTAGCAGTGGAGAAAATAACAATACAAATTCGGCCGTTGCATCTGGAAACATAGCAGTGCCTCATACGAATAATAAATGAAGTGGAAATTCCTTATCGAGCTAACGCCTTCGTAAATCATAACTGACTGAACAGAACTTTTACCTTTTTCAATTCATAGCAGCCTCTTATGTTCCGCAACGTCAGCTTATTTTTCTTATTTTACGCTAGTTCTTTCTTTATTCGCGTGAAACTTTTTCATCTGATGAATAGAATGGAGGATATATATTTTATGATAAAACTGCCTTCCACCAAAGATCATATGACCGAAAATTTTTATCGACTTTTTATGCCGCATTTTTGAGTAATTCATTTCAATGACGATCATAAAAATGTTGTCATCAAAAATTGATTAAAATTTATTATACCTAACCACGAATAATATCGCTTGGGAAAGATTATATCATTTTCATTTAGAGTTTTCTTCGTTCTTTATTTTCTCAGTAGATTTAAATCCTGATGCAATTCAAACGACGGCAAGATTTCTTGCATATTTCATGGTTAGTAAATATTACTCAGTACAGAGAAAAACGTCTGGTGAGTTTATGCCCGGGCGGTTTGCTCGTGAAGTTGAGGCTACGATATACGAAAAGCAAGCAGAGTTTTTACCCTATTCTCGAGTCTGAGTGCTTCGCTTGGCTAGCTCTCGAAGCGGGTTCCAAACCTTTATATACTACTCTCTCCACACTCGATTCTTTGCTTTGGTTGTAGTGCACAGACGGTTTTCACCTTTTCCTTCGTTTCTTCCAATGTTGCTAAAGTATATCAACCATCAGCACCACAATCACCAACAGCTTACCACCATCAACTCAATGAACACTACTACCCCTACTGTGACCTTCTTCGTATTTCCTATTTTGTCACCTTGTTCATTGCAATTTTTACGTTTTTACCAAAAGCTCTTCAAAAGCTTTGAGACTTTTATACATTTTCACCATTTAGCGTACTTTTACCATTATCATGTACTTATTGACTCAAGTCACAACAATAGCTTCACCAAGATTTTATCGGTCGACTTACTCAACTTTTAACTTTATAATTTGTTTCACTCTATGTAATATATATGTATTTGTGTGTTTATATAAAATATGTATACATATATAAAATTACGTATGCTTTTAGTGGTAAACCAACGTTACGACCCAGAAGTTCAGAGTTTAGGTGGTTTCCTGGGCAACAATGTACTTATGCGGTGCAACGTGCCGAGCTTCGTCCGGGATCATGTTACTGTAACATCTTGGTTGCAGGAGCCGTCTTTTAATATTTATCCATCAACTATGAGTGGTAAATATATGATATATACTAAAGGTTGTATATGTGAGGAATAATGTTTGCTAAGGGGACAAGAAATGCTGCTATTGTCGAGATAAAATACTGAAATTTGGAACAATGAAATATTAGCACCACAAATATTGTGTACATAGTAAATTTTATTTAGATTAAATGCATCTTATTTTTCATTTTTATTTATATAAATTCATGTCTTAAATATTTCTTTATTCAACCTAAATTTATTCTACTTGATGATTAAAACGTGAAAACATACTTTGTCTTAATAAAATCTATTTAATTTTTCTTATGATTCATAATAATTCATTAGATGTTTGAGAGTAATTTTTTAATTACATCATTTTTTTCAATATTATTATAATATAAAAATGATAGCAGCAATTTCACATGTTTGACATATGTAAAAGGGTCATTATAATGTTAAAATAACGATAAATTATCAAATTGAATTATGAATAATTTTAAATAATTGATTTTTGAATTACTTATGATTGGGATTATTGAAGTAAAAAAACCGGAACAATATAGGGATATTAATACAATATATTTTTATTTTAATATTCTGAGTAAATGTTTTTTTAAAACCCTCAACAAACTGTTGTTCATTTTTTGTTATTAATAAATAATTATTTGTATGAAGGCTCCTTTACTTTTTGAAATATCTCATTTTACCCTGGGTACCATCCCATATTGCTCTCTGGTTTCCCCTACTTATAATGACCAAATATTTGTACTATGGATTGTCATTAATATTTGAGTATTATGAGGAAGATCAGGGTACATTGACATTTTTTCAGAGACTAATGTTCAAATTACAATTAAGGAAAAATCTTTCATCATTTTACTTGATTAAAATCATTGATAATACATGGAAGATTATTGCTTCAATGTTTATGTTACGAAAATTCCTCATACCTTGTTGAAATTAATTATTATTATTTTTTCAATACTTCTTTAACGATTTTCTTTAAGTTATGACAAATCTTATTAAAAATAGCTATTTATTATAATTATTTAACGCCAACTCTTTGATATAAAACAGTCACTAACTTTAACAAATCATAATTAATATATTTTTTAAAGATTTTTTGAACCAATTCATCCTGAGTTTCTCTCGTCATTTAATTTCGAATTGATATGATTCTAAAAATAATCATAATTATCAATATTTGCAGATGGAAAATATCACATGCTACCAAATGGTGATTTAATGATTATCAACATAACTCGAAATGATGCTCAAATGACATATAGATGTAGAACGCATCACCGACTGATGCAAGAAACTTTGGTGAGTTCCAACGTGGGACGCATACAGTTAGCAGGTAAATAAATTTGTTATGTATTTTATTAATTCTTTGTATTGATAAATCGATATATTAGAAAGGTTTCTTTTATTGAATAAAAAAATCAAGCCAAAAGTAAAAATAAAGAATATACTTCAATATTCTTCAACACAATAAATCATTGCTCAATTCGAAATGAATTATATAATAATTGTGCTACAATGAGATATTATAATATATTTCATCGATATTTCTATAGAATTTAAATACATGCTACATTTTTTCCACCTTCCTAATAGGAAATTATTTTAGTGATACCACAATTAATAACGCAATTTATATTGTATGAATATAGAGAGAAATTAATTTTAAAACAAAAGATTAATATTAAAAAAAATCTTTAATCATGATCAAAGTTCATTGATTAAATAAATGGTTTTATAATTGACCATTTTCGATGATAAAGTGATAATTTAAATATAACGAGTGGTAATTACTGAAAATACCCTTTTATTTATAAAATTAAAAATGCCGCATAATTTTATTTTTATATTAGGTAAGAAGAAAAATTATAAGAATAATTTATATGTACATATGATCGTGAATGACGACCAAATATTAATTAATTATTGTTAACAATTTGTAACAATATTGGTAACAATAATTAAATATTCTTAAAGGCACTTGAATATTATTTTAAAAATAAAATATTGTGTATAAGAACATACTCATGTCTTTATTGACGTTATTATTCAATAATATTCAAAGTTATGCAATATTGTTTTATATTTGAATCTCTCTTAGAGAGGAACACTCGATTATGTAAAAAAATTATTAAATAATTTATTATTAGGAATTGATAAATTTGTTATATTTTATTTAAATAAATTCACAAAAACTATTAACTGGGTTTCTCTCGGCCTCGGCATGCTGAAACTTCGACCATTAAGGGGGCAAAATAAGATTTGTTATATTTATTAAATAAAAGCAGAGTGGCTAAAGTGGTGTATTAGTGTTCTATATTCTAACATAATAATACAGAACAGTCGTTTTTCTCAAATACTATTTCACTAAAATGATTAAAATTTGGTACAGTTAAAAGTTACATTTTTAACTAAAATAGTTAGCTTTTAGAAGTTAAATAACAAATTTAAAAAAATTAATTTTTTGAGATCATCAGGCATTAATTGATTGGATACTTATGACGTATAATCTTGCAAAATATTATTTGGCAATTTGTGTTGAATTTTATTAAATATTTTTTTGCAAAAATATTTGAAACTTCTTATATTGCATTTCATCATTGCTGAAAAAAATATGCAAAATAGTGAATATGTATTTTTAAAGTTTATCTACAAACAACGAGATGTATGATGATAAAAAATGATTAGAATTGCATTATGTTAAATAGTTTAGTGATGATTTTTAAAATTTTAATAGATCTGTTTTCAAAAAACTGTATACATATAATTGTGTATGTTTTTAATAATGACTTGCAATATCGAATCCTAATTACTTATGTGCAGCTTAGCAAATTTAAATCTAAAATCAAAGTTAAAATTATTATTATTTTTTTTAATTTAATATGGATTGAATTAAACACTAGAAATGATAATAAACACGTTATCAGCAGTAAAAAAATTAGATGTTAGAATAAATTTTCATCCTTATGATCTGACAGTAGGCTATGGTTGATAAAATCTTTATAGTCCTTTGTAGTAATGTTCGCCTGGAAAATTTGATAAAGGTTGAAAGAGGTTTAAGAAATTAATAAATTGAGCTGCAGACATTAAAGAGGATGGAAAGAGTATCATGCTTATTTGAGTAAAATTTAAAGATTTTATGAAATAGGTAGGTCAAGAGATATAATCCAAGTGTTAACAGTTTATAAGTATTAGCATAATTCTCAAGTCTCTCGTTATATATATTCATATTAAAAAAAAATAATTTCCATTTGATATTTCAAAAATGTTTTAATTAAAACCGAACGTTATAAACATAGACAAAAATATTAATTCATTTGAGAGTTAAAGTTAACAACAGACATGTTTAATTTGATTTGAATAAATGTTGTGCCTTCTTTGTCGATGAAATATGATATTTTTGAAATAACTAACTTTATAGTTGGAACTTTTAAATAAAAAATTTTTATGAAGTAATAAAAAATGTTTATAATTTATTACGAAATGAGAGAAATTATAATATTATTTTATGAATCTGCAGATATTATAAGTCTTAAACTTAACTACTAATATAAACGACTATTGATTTTGATGCCAATATGAAGAGAAATTGTACAACATCGTGTAAAATAAATTGAATAAGAAATATGTGACATATTTATTATTTATTATTACAGAATGTTATATAAATAAAAGAATGACTAATTAAAATAATATTGAACATAAACATTTGAATGAATATAGCTTAGAGCAATATTCATTGAAAATTTATCCATCATTTTAACAATGACCTTTATAAATATTATTAATATTATAATATTATTTGTATTGAAATTGATTTATCCATTTTTTAATCAGTTTCTTACACATTTAGAGACTCAATTAAAATAGTTTGAAATTACGACATTCGAAAGTTCATTGACATGTTCACTAAACTATTAGAAGTAGCAGTTAAGAGTCATTGAGTCAATATATTCTTTTAATTAAAATTTTCTCATGATAGAAAATCAGAGAGAGATTATTTTATACATGACAAGAGTTATGTTATTTTATCCAGAAATATTTCATGTGGTTACTAATAAATAAAAATCTCATTTCAGTCGCATTATAAATGAACAATTATATATTATTATAATAACACAAATTTATCTGTTTATGCCAATCAATTAATAAACATATTTAACTAGATATAATTTCAAACGATATCACTAGATCATATAATGATAATTGACAATTTATTTAATTTCAATTAATAATATTACTAATTGTTGAAGCCCTAATCTATGTAAGAAACTATTTCTAATTGTTCAGACTCTTTTATTTGAACCAGGAATACATTGAACTTATTCCTTATTCAAAAAAGCGAGGTGTTAGAATTAGGAATGATAAAATATAACTGGAGCTATTAAACGTCTTAATTATAAATTTAGTTCAACATCACTCGTACTGAAATACATTAAGATATAATTCATTAAAAAAAGTTGTGAATACTTATCGGAGAAGCATATAACTGAAATAGATTAGATTTAAATCAAATTAGCAAATCATGAGACAAAAAATATTAACATTTAGGTGCTTGTTTCATATTAATTATGATAAATATTTTTACTGCACGTTCAAGTGCATTATTGTTACACATCTAGACGTGTTAAATATGACGTCACCTATTTGATTAACATTGTAGTCACTTTTCATACGTTTCTAAGTGTGTAACAAGTGATTAAAAGTTGTTAATCAAATGGATGACGTTAATCAAATCACTTGGATTTGCAGTGTTATAAAAAAGTAATAGACACAATTAAATGGAGTGATATCGTTTAAAAATATGTTCATTAATTTTTGTTGTATTTAAAATTAGTTAAACAGAAGTCAAGTTTAATATGTTTTTACATTATTTTCAGACATTATACTTAATAGTTTTGGATTAATATAACTTAATGACAATTAAGTTATTTTAATGAAGTTGATATAATTTATGTATTCACTATTATGATTTTTATATTTGAAATTGGTTTGATTTTTATGAATAAACTCTTTATTGATTGTTTCATAAAAAAATAAGAGCTTTTTCTTCATAATTTAAGGAGAGGTCGATTTAAATCAGAACTGAGCTGTCGTATTTTTCCCAGATAGCGGTAGGTCAAGAAATCTGTTTGAAGCTCAACTAAATTAAATGGTTGTGTCTGGTTCGTGACTCAAGCTTTAAACTAGGATATAAAATTCTGGTATTCTCAATATTTTTGCAGTCATAAAAATATGAAGACTAAATATTACAGTAAAGAAATGAAAGAAAATTTGAAAACCATTCAAATGATTATTTCTCCATATATGTATACAATAGAAATTTATGTAACGTAATCTTTTCATTGAAAAATTCTGAAAAAACTTGTCAAAGTTACCGTCATTATTATGTTAATTTTATATGGAAACATGATTTCTTGATTGATTAACCGGAAAATTTACGTAAATGTAATCAGATATGCTAAGTGAAATCTAGTCAATGCTTCATGGGTAATTGAATATAATTATAAGTATCTACTCAGTTTGATTTCGCTTTTGATAATAAAAATAATGATGTCACAATATACTTCAAAATTTTAGATTATTGTTAATTACTGAAAAATATCAAATATCTATCTTTCAATTCATTCGATAATCTCAACTAAATTTTTTTTAGTGATTTTTTATTTAAAACATCTCTAATTTTACTGGAATAGCTGAAATTAAATTTAAAATTAATATTATTATAGTGGGAATGAATTTACATCAAATTGATCGTTTTTATTTAATAATATTAAAAAAAAACTTAGATAAATTTATTTTTATTTTAGTAGTTACATTGATCAATTTTCTCCGAGTGTTTTTTGTGAAAAATATACTTGACAAGTCATGAACATCTTTGATGAATGTATCACTATTTGAAAAAAATTTTTTTACAATATGGCCTCATTAAATATGTATGTATATATTCTTCGGTAATATTATAAATTAATGACGTGAATCAAAGTCAAAATATTGCATTACTCGCATCGTTATTTTTTTTTTAAAGATGACAGCACTTCAAACGATAAAAAAGATGAAGAAAAATGAATAATAAGATGAGTTGTGCCTCAGCCGCACTTGACGAATAATGACAAGCTCATCGGAGTATAAAAAAGGGTACGGTTATGTAGTACCTGTATATCTGTGTGTATCATACACTAGTGCATATTGCGACAGTTCTCTACTCTAGCATCTCTTTGCCAGTCACGTTGCAGACTCGTCTGAAGCGGCACGCGAACTCCAAGTATTGCATGCAGGGTAGCATCGTTAGTTAGCTGACGCTCAAGAGGATATTTCTCCTCTATTCTCCATTGATTCATCTTGTTTTTGCTCCTCTATCCGTCCACTTGAATGTTTCTCACGCAGCTTATGCACCCAGTACACACCATCAAATCTTTCGGTAAAGTCTAATAAGTACGAGAAATCTTGCCACAGTGTAGAAAATGTTTGCTTCAAATATTGCCCCAAGAAATTTTGCTTTTTAATATGATCCTCTTGTATAAATTTATGAAAAAAACTTTATCAATAATCATCTCTGTAAGAATGCACCCTTCACTTATACGTGCCAACTTTTCTATCATGTAAAAACCATCCAATTATCGAAGTACCATTTTTATTTTTTATATTTTTATAACATTTGAAACTTGAAAAATATCTTGACAAGTATAGTGCACGTCTAGCAAATATTTGTTGCTTTTTAATTATAGATATATTTAATTAAAATTGTGTGTATAAAAAAAATTATGAGAAAAAAGCAACGATGGAAGTTAAATAAGATTTATTATTATTTGATGAAACATTTACTTGAAAGTACTTATACATATATACTGATTTAAAGTTTCTTATAAAGTTAGCTGAGATCTGATACATTCTTAATTTGGTTAATGACTAAATAATGAATCAAATAATCGTTAGAAGTTATTATAATAGAAAATATTGTGAAAAGCAATTTTCTTTGTAAATTATTAATACCGATAAAGAGTCATGTTTTAACAAAATGAAATTTAATAGTGCATTTTATCTTATCACAAAATTATAAAATTATCTTAAAAATTAGGTTACCAAAGATTTCTTCATAATTTTAAATAGTTTACTTTACATTTTAGCAAATTTTATCTTATCGTAATAATGATAACTTTTTACCTTTAATATGAACATAGATTTATTCCTTAATATTCGAAATAGAGTTGCAGAAATTCCTATCATCACTAATTGTAGTCAAAATATTTGGAATTTTCTGTGTATTAACGAAATCCTTTTGTTGTTCATCTGTCTGTCCGTTTCACTGACTGATTATCCCAACCTATAGAGTACTTTCAATTAAGCTAAAACCTCGAAATTTGGCATGAAGAAAGGTTTTAGTAGAAATTAAGGAAAAAACCTACAAACAACGACTTTTTGTATTTATTTAGAATTAGGAATACAGTCCCAACAATTAATCACACTCGACGATTTGTACGAAATGATTACTTCTAAAAAAAAATGTATATTTCTAGGACTAGAGATTCAAACCCAGACCATTCAATCACATTTGTTTAAATAAACTCTCTTCATAAAGCAAATAATATAACATATTCCATACATTTATGGATACAGCTCATCTATATATTACAAAAATACTTTTTACTAATTCAAAAGTACATTCAAATGTTTACTTAGTCTTAAAGCTTAACTTACTGTTTTTGTATCATTTGAGCATAAAAAATTGTTAAAAGTACAAGTTTCATGCACATATGCGATTCTAAAATAGAAATAATTTCTCTTAATAGTATAGGAAAATAATTGAAGCAAACCTATTACTAAAAAATAAATCAACTTATTGAAGTTAGTTTTAATTTATAATAAGATTGAGTATTAACAACATATGAAAGAGAAATAACAAAGTCTTATATCAGTAATGTTTTTAAGTAATGAATTACATGTGAATTGACTATCATAAAACTTATTAGATAACTCCAATACATTTATCAAAATATTATATTTCTATTACTTCATGACCATAAACTTTTTATTTATTTAAATAAATATCTTAATTTTATTAAATGATAATCACAGCACGTGATTGGAATTTTCGGAAAACCAGATTATGTTATAAGCATTCGAAAAAGTACAATTCGTTTAGAATGTACGAGAAATGATTGATGAAATAAAGAAGGCAGAGAATGATTAGTACCTAGTAGAAATAGTCGAAGAATAGTCGGACAGAAGTTAGGAATTTCTGATTTTTTTCGAAATGACAAATTATTTCTATTAAACCATCTATTTTATCAGTGTAATGGTACTTTATATATATATTACTTGTATCAAATATATTTAATTTTGATCAGAAATAGTATTGATTGTTTTGATGTCAGAACAATTTTGATATCGGTCAGTGTGTCAAATGTATGCACTGAAAGAAATCAACATAGTTTAATGTACTGTCACGTGCTAATTTCACATTTAAAATTTCAAAGTTGACTTCTCTTTCAAATATAAAAAGACTCATTAATTTATAGCATAATAAATTTTTAAAAAAAGATAAAAACTCAGTAAATAGACAGTTAAGATAAAAAAAGTGGAATAAAAATAGAAATTTTTATATCATGTGTATGTTTATTTTTTTATCAAAGACTCGTTGGCTTTGAACTAAAATATAATTTCGTGTCAGTGGCAAAGTAAGCAGTGTTGAAAAGTAGATGATAAGCTAAAAAATATTTTATGTTGTAAAAATAAGACGAATAAATTATGTTTTATTTTTAAAAACGTATATGGAGTATCTCAAAACTACTCTTTTAACATCAAATTTGAAAAGAACATTCCATTGAATTTCATCAATTTCACAAAAGTAATAAAATAATTTACATCAATTTGATTTTACGTAATTGAATTTTTTAATCGAGTTTTCAATTAATATTAGCATTTATTGTCATATTTCTAATTAAATATAATACAAATAATATGCAGAGTAATTCCTAAATTAATATATTGTAATGAAAATTGAATTCTCAATTTTTCATAATTTATTTAATAAAATTATTTCATATGTATTTATCATTTTTCAAATGAAATAACTTTTTTTACACTTACACTCGAAGTATACTAAAATTTGAATAAATTAAAAGTAGTCATCAATGTAAAAGTTTCTTCTCTAAAAAATAGCTGAAAAATTATTCATAAATATATTTATGTTGAAATTGATATATATATATTTTATGTCAACCATTATGATTGAACTATTATAAAAATGGTTAATTTATTATGAGTAAATATGTAACAATATTCAATAGAATAATTTGCAAAAATTTTTTAAGAGCTGTTTTTGATATTTTCTCCAACGTTCCTCATCTTAATATCTATTTTCAATGCTGCTATAAAAAAGTTATTTATGTGTATGGATATCAATAAATGTAACTTTTTACGTTTGATATCTATAACTATTCGTTTACTTGATGGAATATTATGGGAATAAAGTTTATTATTGAAAGTTTTTTTTTTATAAGCTTGTAGTATAACCAGTTATGATTCATATGAAATTTATTATTATGTATTGTCATCATACTCTGTCTATCTAAAAAGTATAAAACTATAGTAAAACTGATGTTTCATTATTTCAGACGATCTGCTTTTATACTTGAACTATATTATAAGACATATTGTTCATTTTTAATGTTTGATTCCACAATTTTCCATTAGACTTTTTTTTTTTTGCAGATACTACATTTAAGATACATTGGATACCCTACTCGGTCTCATTCTTTCTTTTTCTTTTAAGAAATATCACAGTAGGAGCTTCTTTCTTCCTTGAACTATTTATGACATGCCATAGAAACATTTCTCGTTTATCACGAGAAGAACTAACATGAACTCATTTTAAGAATATATAGATTATTATTTTTTCTTATTCGTATATATTCATAAAATATTGTATTGAAATAACTAATACATATTAAAATATTACAATGATATTAAAATATTACTAATTCAAATATACATCATGGAATAAATTTAATGCATATTTATTCAAGGAATCATTTTATATCTTTTTGTAAAATAAATAAATTGCTTTGATTTCAGAGATTAGAGGTTTCACACCACCGATACTTAATGAGAAACTTCAAACATTATCCGCTCGTTTGGAGGATACAGTAGTCATACCATGTGTAGCTTACGCAAATCCACCACCATCTAACAGGTACCATTTCTAATGTATTTTATGAAAATTATGTCATTAGTAATTATTTATACAATCAGTTATTTATAAAAATAAGAAAGGCATAAAGTCTTATATAAAAGAAAGTTTTAAAAAATACCAAAAAAGAGATGAATTTGATTAGTTTTTTAACCTATTCCATGAACAATAAATTTTGGGACAGGTCATGAAAATAAATAGTACATTTCACACCTAGGGAGGGAAAGTAGTCTAGCTCCAACCACGTGTAAAATTAAGCTAGTCTAATTGTTCTCCTTAGGGCTGAATATGGTTTTTCGTCATACCTGCGTGGAAAGTTTAATCATTCTCTAATGGAAAAGTGAACTTTCCATGCGGGTGTGACGAAAATCTTATTTTTCACACTTGCATTTCTAGTGAGAGATCAATTAATCATAGATGACTTGGCAGAGCCTAAGTTACTTTATGATACTTATAATTTCATTCTGAAGTCAACTAGCTGACATAATGGTTATATCCAAGTTGTGGACCAAGGTATGATAATGATCACTAATTGAGTTGAAGTTTCCGGATGTACTTCCGAGAACTAATCATAGTTCCTCTACAAGCTTCCGCTTGCATCTCGAGATTTCATTTTTTTTCTGGCAAATTTGATTTTCCTGTTTTTCCACCAAGTTTTACTTAAACCTCTTAACTCAGATGCTCAGAGCTAGATTTGGTTTCTCTAATTTCATTTTCTCACTACTATTTTTTCAACCTCCATGATAACTTATCCAAATAAGCTAGTAGATACAGACATGGTCAGACTGGGTATTTTACCTCATTTTACCTTCCATTTTGTCCACAATTTCGCAACACTAAGTGTAATACACAATTAGTATTTTTGTAAAAATATTGGTTATTGTTAACTACTTCATTTGCAAATGAGTGCATGCAAAATTTTCTATCCACAAATTTCAAAATGTGATTTAAGGATCTCTCTCATTCGTCCTAGATTCATATGTCAGAGGGAAAATAATATTCTGTGTCAACATCCTAATCAATATTGTAGGTAATTATTCGATTCCTTATCACTGGCCTTATTGTCAACAGAATCAGTTTTCTCGTGACGTAACATAAAGACAAGAGTTGTAATAGATTACACAATGTGTTACTAGAAGCCCTCATTTCATTTTAACCGAAAAAAGGGATATTTCTGACACATACATATATACATACATCGAGGAAATAACTAATGACTATAGTTGTAAATAAGATAGAGCTTCGTCCCATGTACATGTGATTTATTCACTTACAGACTATCATCTTCTTTAGAACATACTATTATATGCATATAATCATATCTGGGATCATGAAAATTTCATTTCCCAAAGATTTCCCGACGTTCCCCTCGTGAGACTATGGGGAACAAAATTTTTTTGGTAATTTTTTTTTTCAAAATATCATCGATCCATGTTTTATATTTTTTTTTAAATACATGAAACAATAATTATTCTCAACTTGTTTTACTATGAGAAGAATATTTCAAGTCTACAATAAATTTAAAAGGTACCCATAATTCTAATCCCTCTGGTCAAGTATTTAATTGAATTTTTACTTCCTGATATTATTGAAGTTAATTAAAAACCAGACTCGAATTTATATAATTGAATAATTATCTGTTTCATAGTCATAAATTTTTATCTTTGTATTAGATTAAAATTAATGTTGAGAATGAACTCATATTTACTAAATATTTATTTCAGTAAAAATAGAAAGATAAATAATTCAAGAAAAACAAAGATATAATAACATATATCAAGTTTTAATGACCATTATATCAGCTAATATATAACAAACCAATAACTATTGGAAAAATATAATTGTTGTAATAAATAACTCATAGCAATACTTTCAATGATTTATTAATCATTATTACTATTCTTTAAATTACATTATTCTTTAAATCAAAATCTCAAATTATAGTAACAATTTTTTGGTATTTTTTTGTACACAATTATGAATAAAGTGATAGGAATATAATATGATCAACGACTATATCTGTTAATTAAAACGACTATATATATGATGGTATTTATAAATGCTATGTCAACGCGTTCATTCTTAACCACAATTGTTTGTTAACAATGAAAATACCGATTCCACAACATATTTTTTAAAAAAATATTTAAAAACATAGTGGTATATTTCAGAATGAAATTCTGTTTTACTATCTCATGCATTTACATTTCAAAGAGAATATAATTAATTTGATATCACAAAGATCTCTTGGTATTAATTGTTTATTTTCAATTAACTTTGTGTAAAAACATAAATTAGTTAACTCACTGTGAGTTACGAAAGCGTATTTTACTTAATTAGTCAACATAACTCGAAACTGATTAGAAATAATGCAAATATATTTAAAATATAAAAAATATTAGCAAGGAAAGTTGGTTGTAGTATGGTCATTTTATGCAATGAGTCTGGTGATGAGCACAAGTATGCAAATTTATCGTGGACATTAACCTTTAGAGAGGTATGTCAAGGTTAATGCCATTGGAAATTCATCCCCTTTTATAGTTATGCATGTATTAATAATTCAATTAACATAAGAGCTTTGAAATCAAAAGATAATACAGTGGATATAGAGAAATAAATACTGGAAACGCTTCCAGTGGTGAAACGCAAATAGGAAACATGTATAGGTAGAAATGATTATCTTATAAAGTGGTGTAGAATTCCAAAGGTAAATAGAGTTAGTTGGTTATCGAGTCAACATTTGGTATTGCGATTTAATTTCGGATTTTTTTGCAAACAAATGTAAAATTTATTATCGGTTGATTTAGCAAAAAACAAACAGAACATTTTTAATTTCAAAGAAGTCGTACGCGTTGGAGATTATCAAGTGGACTGGTGGGGTATGTAAATGATAAAGACAGTAGTGGAAGAGAAGAAATGGAAAAAAAGAAAATGAAAATAGTGAATGAGCAGAGTAGACTGAATTCACATGAATATCCTTCTCTCTAACGTTCTATTTCTCTTTCCCTCTTTAGAAGTACAGTAAACAAACCAACCACTGATTACAGAGACTGCTTCTGACAGCCCATCAAATATTCCACGTTTACGTGAACACCGACGTCACTAGGTATTCCAAGCTTGTGTTACCCCACCCTCTCTGCTGTTTCCCAGTTCGAAGCTCTTGCCATGGGCTTGGCTTCTACTGAGTTGACTCAGTGAGGAGTCTGAGGGTTTTCTTCTATACCACTAATACCACTACATCAGAGCCTTGGCTTCTAATTCTCTTTCTCACTTTTCCATCTTTTGTGGACTTTTGCTCTCTTGTACTCTTTCACTAATAGCGTTCTTCCTTCACCATCAATTTCCTTGGATGAATTCGATTATCCATAGATATACCCAAGTTTTTTTCTGCGAAGTAAGCAATATTGAGAAAAAGACGATGAAACGCCAAAAGCAAAAATGGAATAAAGGATGATTGCTTGCGGCCAAAAATTCAGTTGAATGATGTAGTGAGGTCAATCGCCTTTGGAAACTTGGCTCTCTTCCTTATTCACTTTCTTCAACTCTCTCTCTGTAAATCGAGCTATATCTCGTTAGTTGGTTCAGGTCGTTATTCACAGAACGCTGACTTGAAAATCAGCCGTGATTTCATGCGTCGATTGAAAGATCGGAATAGCCTGTGTACGTGACGTGGTCTCGAATTATATGAAAGTTGCTGATAGAAAGTGCTCTAGTACGAGCTTTCATGTTACTCTTGATGTTACACAAAATGGACCCCTACTGTGCTACCAAAATTACAGAATTCTGGCGCAGGTTTGTGGTGAGAGACTGTAGAACCCTCCAAGTTATGTGGATCTTTCACGTAAAGTTATGTACTAAGAGATGACAGAGAGATTCATGGTTATTAGAGCAACATGCACATGCTGAAATCCAATATCATTAGCTTTTTATACTCTGTATATTTTTTATATCATTTCTTTAATATTGCTTCCTTAATTCTCTGGATTCATTTTAAACTTTGAATATTGATTAACTTTCTATGCTATTCAATTTTACTAACCACGTTTACTTACACACTAAATTCACCTCTACTTAGGAATAAATTTTTTTCATTAAAGCATCTTCTTATTGTGGTAAATCTTCAGCTGATGAAAATTGATGGTAAATAAAAGTAAAACATATGGAAATACTGTTCAACAAATAAAATCAAGTGATTGTATAAATAAATTTTTCAAACAGAAATGAAATGTTTTTGATGATTTTTTTTAGTCTTGCTGAAAGGACATTTTAACTAGACTTGATAGACTTTTTACAACTCTTTCAATCAATAATTGTGATTTTTTATTTTGAATATCATTGGTTTTCACTGGTACTCGATTTACGTTCCTACGTTGAATAATTCATATTTTCACATTACAAAATCTCTCAGAAGATGGTAATCTTTGATACTTAAACTTTGAACGGCATCTCATTTTGTCAATTTTTAACTTTGATGTTTGAAATAAAATGTGAACTTGGTTATACAATGGTTTTTTCAATCCAAGTTTTGAACATGTTCGGAATAGCTTCCAATCGAAATACATATTGATTTTTCAGTGTAAAAATAAAATTCATAGTAATGTATACACAACTACATCTGATCAGATTGAATTCGATTATCGAATTATATTATAATTCTTCTTCTTTAAATTATTACAAGTTTCTTATTATTTTTTGTTTCTCAACTTTTTCTTACGATTTAATGTTTTGAATAATGACATTAAATTTAGTACCATAAAATTGAATAATAATAATGAAGCAACTATTGAATGCAATCATATTGAAATTCTATAAACTAGAGTATCGAGAATTCAATTTTTATCTCTTTTAACATTTTTATAATTTTTTTCTACAAAAAAAATTCTATTTCAGGTGGTACTTCCGCAAAGATCAACGTGAGGAGCCTATAGAAGAGCTCACCAACCATTGGATAGTTCATGATGGTTGCTTGATAATACAAGGTGTTCAAGAAAGTGATGCAGGCTCGTATATTTGCACTGCAAGTAACGTGGAAGGTAGTGCAAATTTAGAAATTCGATTAAGTGTCTCAGCACCACTAAGTGTTCATGTTCAACCTGCTGTACAGACGGTTGATCTTGGAAAACCTGCATCACTGGTAGAAGTCTTATATTTTTTATTGTCACTGATAAGTATTATATATTTCATATTATATATCAATAGTATTGTTGATGTTTTAGACTTGCAGTGCAAATGGTTTTCCACAAGCAGCACTTTACTGGCTAAAAGATGGTCAACCATTGCGCACTGGTGATCACATAAGCCTAATCTCAAGGGATCGTATCTCTATTAGCGCTGTAGCTCGGGAAGATCGTGGCATGTATCAATGTTTTGTACGAAACGAACATGAGATGGCACAGGGAATCGCTGAATTACGTCTGGGAGGTAAGCAGAATACCAGCATTTCTACTACCATGCAAGCTCAATTCATCTTCCTTCTCATTCTGTTTCCATCTGTTCAAACACACCGATTTTCAATTAGATGCATGGCGACGTGTTTGTCATGGAAATATAGTGATAGTTTTAACATTGGTGCTGTCGAGTGGATGATCAATGAATCGTGAGCTATTGGTTGTTCCCTCCTTTTCCTAGTTATCGCGTATTCTCATATAGTATTTTAATCGTATCACATAAAAAAGTATGTAATCAATATTTAACACACGATTGAAAGTGGTTTTATGTCTATCCATATGAATAGAAATTATCTTAATCGTAGGATTCTAGTTTTTATGTTGTATTAACAACTCTACATCATACTTTTTCTTGTTTAAACACATAAAATTGATCATTCTGGTCAATGTAATGTTATTATATCATATAAACAAGACGATATATTGAAAAAGTAATATTTCAATTGTTGAAATTTTTTATCCAATATAAGTATAATTGATTCATTCTTGATATATGTATTGATTGATAATATAAATTCGTTGATTGCAAAGTGATAATTAAAAACTTCTCAATAATTCCTCATTTGATACTTAACTCAGAGATATATCTTTATTATAAATACTGTTTATTTTTATTTAATCAAAAATTAACGTATTTAACGAATAAGCTCCATTATAAAATTACCTTTTTAACCAAAACGATAAAATTGTATTATTAATTGGTAATTATGGATCATTTTAGAATAATACTTAATTAAGATTGGATTGTTTTTAGTTATTCGATTCAAGGAATTTTAATTCATTCTAAATTAATATCTGTAGCTAACGAAAACAGTGCTTCTCTATTCATCAAAATAATGATTAACAACCACACATGATCATCATCTATGTGCTTTTTATTATACTATTATTAGATCAATTTGTAGCATTATTTGGCTGTAGAATATGATTTACTTTATTGAAATAATTTCATGATAACCAGTGCTAGTAAAAAAATAACAGTTAAATATGTTGGAACTGAAAACAATATATAATAATATAACAAATGGAAGTTTCATTATTTTCTATTGCTGAAAATTTCATTTTAAATTATTCAATTAAATAATTACATTTTTCAGCTTCTGAAATACGTAGGTTAATTTTATTGGAATTTATATTTTTTTTGTGCTTTGATGTATAATTTATTTTTGAAATATTCGAAACATTATTGTGATGAAAATTTAACGATTATCGAATCAAATATACATTTTTTAGGAATCAACAGATTTATCATTTGTGTAAATATATATTTATTGATTTAGTAAAAAAAAAAGGTCCGATAGGAAGCAATCTACAAGGTCATACTTGACCAAGCTTTAAATTGCAGAAAAAAGTATCTCTCGAATTCTTTTCTATTAACACAATGATAAAAATTATTACAGATAATTATGATAAATATCTTCAATAAGACAGCAATTTTCACTGCTCTTTTATAGCAAAGCCTTCATTTGGAGTTGAATTTTTTTGATTTAGGATAAAAAATGATGTATTTATTTAACGAGAATAACTCTCCATGTCATTATAATATAACATTCATCGTAGTATGTCAACTCAAAACGTTAATTTATTTCCTGTAGATAGGAAGTTCAATTTCATCATCAGCAAGAGAAATCTACATATTCAGTGTAGATACCGTATATAATCCAATGTGAAAATTAATTTCAATCTCGTGCTCTACATATCATAATATAATCATAAAAAACATCTTTTATTATTTTAATTAATTAATACCAAATTCAATGTTTCTGCTAATATTCTCTAAAATTCAAAGGCATTAAAATTCTTCATCTAGAAGAATTTTAACTAAGATATTAGTTCATCATACATAAAATTTCCCATAATTATGAGAAATTTTGATAACTTTAAATTAAGATTTATCAATTTGACAAATGTTTAAAGTGACTTCTGATATTGATCAATTACATCTATTTTGAAGGAATTATTCGATAGAAAATATTTGCTTTGATTGTTCGAAGAATAGAATGATAAAAAAATAGTTCTAAAACTGAACCTAAAAAAATATACCATTATGTACTTACCCTCAAATGACTCTAAAAAAATAATGATGTTGAAGCATTATATTATTGAAACTCGTTAATTAAATTAGCAAATTTAAACTTAGTATTTATATCACGTATATCAATTAAACTCATGGTGATGCAATAATATGATTCCAACTACAATCAACAATTGGAATTCTTTTAATTGTAAAAGAACATATGAACCTATAGCTGATGCAAAAATTGAACGTGTACAACAAATGTAATACACACAGAAAAATTAAAACTTTTTTAACAGTTTTTTTAATCAAGAGAAATGAAAAATCAAAGTTATTGCTCCAGTCACTTCACCAGTTATGAAATTCCAATTACTAACAATTCATATAATTTCCGTGAATTTTTGTTCATATAAGCTCTAAAATGGCTAACCACAACGATGTATTATCAGCTAATTCTCGTGCCAATGATAAAATGATTTCATTTGTATGTTGGTTGGTTGTCAGAATTATCTAATAAGACATGATGTGTGTAGATATACATATTTATGTACAAACAACCATACATACATGGATACATTCAGTTACAACATAGTCTTGAGTTGTACAGGATAGTTAGTCTAGATTTGCATACGTTAACGAGGTTTCTGTGGTTTCAGCACTATTCTAAATACCCCTTAAGTGTCTGAAAAGTCTAATATATTGTTCTAAAACACTTCCTCTTTCTATTCTATTATTATATAAAATCACTTGCTGATGCATTGCAGTTAGCTGAAAGTAAATTTTAATCCTATTAGCTACTCAATTTTATTATATTCACGAAACAAGAATTTATTTTCAATTCAATTATTTAATAAACAATAAAAATGTAGAGAATTCGTTTAATACATTATTGCAATTTTTTATCAAAAATTGTATGTGAAATATTTATTGATTTATTGATGGTGATGGAAATATTTTTATTGAGGCTTATTTTTAATCAATTCTATTTTAGGAATCAAAACTGCGAAAAAATAATATATTTGATATGAAAGATGATTAATCCTTGAAAAAAGTCTCATCTTTGAATCTTCTTATTGGGATTAAACGAATCATCGAAAGCGCGAATAAATTGCTGCTTCTCCCATGAAAATTTTTACTCCAAGTAATCTCAGCAGCATGATCAGGTCTCGTCAATATTCCCTTCTTTAATCTCTAGAAACTTTTAATTCAGAGGACCATTGATATGCTAAATGTAGATTTTTTTATATCATTGAACAATAAAAAAATAAAATATAAAAAAATTTAATCAGGTACTTAACGATTCCACATGAATTTATGAGTAAATTCATATACATAAATATTTTTTAAATTGTTTAATTATTATTAAATTTCAATAAATATAAATTTTTAAATGTTTTTTACAGAGTTGTGATAAAATTATCTGATAGATGATTTTAAAAATTAAAAAGTATTAGATAAATTTATATTAATAATTAACAGATGAAAATTGAAAAGAGTTTTTACGATTAAATAATTAATTGTGTGCTAAAGGGATGATTAATTAATGAACAATTTTTATCGATTATTTATTTAACACCTTTTATTCAATTTCGCTTTTAAAATAAATAGAATAATTCTACTAGAATGAATTATTTTTTAAAAATCAAAATGAATGATTTTCAATAATTTATCATCTCTTTTCTCTAAAATAAAATAGTGAAAATAATTAAAAATCGTTAAAAAATAGTGATTTTCGCTGTTGTATTTTGAAAGGATTTATTCAATTTTTTCGGATTATAAAGTTTTTATGTTCTATATTTTTCTATTATATTTTTGACGTGAGAAACGTCTAGATTAAGATTTATTTCACTTAAACCTTATATAAATCATGACCCAGTATGAAGTACTCGCAATATAGTGAGAAACTTACCTTTTAGCTAACGAATAAGTTGTAAATCATATTTAATAAAAATCATTATATTCTGGACAAAAAAGGAATACAGATTGAAATTGAATTTTTTATGTTACAGTAACATTCTTGAATCCATTTATTTTATAGATTTTTTTTTATCATGATTGGAAAAGCTCTACTTATGATTAAAAACATTTATATTTCTGAGATCATTTTTTATTCAAATAAATTTTAGATAGACTTGATTCATGCTGTTATTAAATACTGATGATTATTCAAAGATTCATTTTTTTAGAGCTTTAAGCCCACTCTGTGGTCGAAACTCTAAACCAAGGCATTGCTTGGAGAAGGTGAAGTTGTAACCTACCTGGAGGTCTCAATCCAACAAATTCCAATACGTATACGAGTAGTATAAGTTAATTTATAAGTTTCCTTCCTTGTAGCTAAGGATGCAAGCCGGTATTCATATTCCGCGTTTCCGATTAGTGACTCTGAGGTCTTAGCCCAGCAACTGAGGTCATCATCCGGTTGACCGATAAAGCCCAGAGGGCAGTGGTCGTATACTGTCACTGAGGGTCATAGTCTGTTATCGGCACCGTTTAGAAAAGACAGATCATAGCTCCATCTTCGAGGTCCTTACCCGTTTCTGTTTTTCTTGGCATTTTCCTCGTCATCAGAAGTCAAACTTTTAGGGGTGTTGTAAAGGGTGTTTACCCCTACAAAGTTACACGTCCGATTATCACTGTTGTTACATGATGAGTCTTGAGTCGTTACCTAGTATTGGCGTAAACTTTGGTCCAGAAAGAGTGCACCTCCTGGGTAGAAGAAATCCAACTGCTAATACTACTGCTTTACTGACCGATCGTCACCGATTTACGCTTCTGTCCAATGATTTTGTTGTTAAACTTCATATTATCTTGGTATTACAGTAAAACTTCCATTATTTTAGCCTCTAGTATTTTGGACCTTTATACTTATACCTTTATAACTTATAACCCCAAAGTCCCAAAATAATAGAAAATTTACTGTAAGTCTAAATTATTCTTCGACGTTATTATCATCTCTGTTCTTCTAGTCATTGTTATGTTTGCTCAATAATAAATTTTTCTATACCTTCTGAAAATGAATCAGTGAATATTCATTCTTAAATGGTATTATTTAATTAACTTTGACTTGAAAACCCGTCATTTCTAGTTGCTCCCGTTTTTCTTTACGATTACTGAATTCTAGACTCATCGAGTTAATCATAAAAATATTAATTACATAAGAACTACCCTATACATTTGTTAACAATCATGTGTCGTCATTAAGAGCAATATTTTATGTATTTAAATGGTTAAAGATATTAATTTTTTAACAGTAAAAACTTTCCGTATTGTTTATCATTGAATTTATTTTTTAATTTTTTGTTATAAAAAAAAAACGACTTGACCGAGTTTGTTGAAACTTCTTGTAGATTTTCATTGCATTATCTTCCGAATGAAATTTATACGAAGTCAATATCGACATCCATTCTCGAGATATTTAAAACAAAAAAAAAACAGATATACGTACATACATACATCTCTTTAAAAACCTTTTAATATATTTTCAAATGTTTTAAAATGTAAAAATGATGTTATAATAACTTGTCTATAAGAAGTTTAATAAAATATTCATATTTATATGGGCATAAATCTAATACAATACCAATAAAGTAATTTTTTTTTCCAACCACAGAAATCTCACCACAATTAGTTTATCGTTTCATCGAGCAAACAATGCAACCAGGGCCATCAGTTTCTTTAAAATGTAGTGCTGCTGGTAATCCTACTCCTCAAATTTCATGGCTACTCGATGGATTCCCACTGCCGCAAAATGATCGTCTACTTATTGGACAGTATGTTACTGTATATGGAGACGTAATCTCTCACGTCAACATATCTTCGGTTAAATCCGAGGACAGTGGAGAATATCATTGCACAGCTGCAAGTCGAGCAGGCGAAGCATCTCATTCAGCGAGGCTTAATGTTTATGGTGAGTGGAAATAATCGTCAAAAGCTTTGAAGGCATGAATATAATCAGAGTATAGATATAACGCACAAGACTATAAAACAAGGTAAATCCGTTTATACACAGATCAATTTTATATATTTTATATCAAATATTCTTGTTTTTTTTTAATGCAATAATTTTGCTTTATTTATCATTATTATTTTTACTCATTCATAAATCTGGAAATAATAAATGCATTTTTTTTAGCTTTATTTAGGTTGATTCAATAGTATTTAAAAAATTATAAACGACCAAATTTCCAAACAAAAAATATTAACTAATTAACAATGAATATGATAGAATCTGTTATTAAATTTTTTATAAACATCTTTATTCACCTATTTTAATGATTTTTATTGTTTAATAAATAATGATTCTTTAAAACAAATTTAAAAATAATTTTGTATTATATTACCACTATAGAAAAAATTTCATAGCAAAGCTCGATTATTTTTGTTCTTTTTTGTATTTTGAAACATTTCAAAGTTACCTCAGATAACAGAATAATTTATGATACAGTTTTTTTTTTCTCTTTTCTAGTTAGATAAAGAAATGTTATTGACCATAGTGGAAATTCAATATTACAGACCTTGCTTGGAAAAATATTTCATCAAATAACAAAATGATGATATGAGTTATTAAAAAATGACTGAATCTCTCTAATTGTGGTTCTTTCGAAACCTAAAGTATTATTTGTAAAAAAGAGTTGAAACTCCAAAATTAACTAAGAGAATAGAATTTCACTAAAAGCTAAATACTAAAAACTAAAACTAGATCAAACATTTCAGATTCTTTTTTTCTCTTTAATTAGACATTTAAACTGATTGATATTTCTATCAATTATTAATTTATAATGGCTACCTATAATTACATAAGTAAGATAAGTAAGGCTATTATACCGTAAAATATAAATTAGTTCACAAGATATTCAATAATTTTTTTGTCAAACAGCATATTGAAGCATAAATTATTAAAATGATTAAAAGAAAAAAGGCCATTGATCATTTCTTTTCAAGTAAATTTATTCATTGCAATCACTGAATAATAATTCTTTCAATGTAAATTATTTTTGCCTTTAAGCATCTATTACATATTATTTCAAATCAAACATTCGTTTGCTCACTCTTTTCGCAATTTAAAAGTTACAACACAAAACCCTAAGCTAAAAAAAAAGTTTATTTATAATTTTTTTGTTATGTTTGGATTGAAATATAAATTTATTTATTTTTTTTATTTGATATTTTTAGGATTACCGTATGTACGTCCAATGCAAACTGTATCGGCAATCGCTGAAAAACAACTTCAAATAAAATGCCCTGTAGCAGGATATCCCATTGAGTCAATCATATGGGAAAAAAGTATGGTGATAATTGAATAAACATTCAAATTGGTATTTAAGTAAATAAACTATTAAAATAATGTGTGTATAATGTTTATCCATAGATGGTACTAGATTGCCAACGAATATACGACAAAGAGTAGCAAACGGAACCTTAACTATTGATACTGTTCAACGTAGTGCAGATCAAGGTACTTACACATGCATTGCTCGCAACAAACACAACTACACCTCACAACGATCTGTCGATGTCCGGGTTTTAGGTAAGTAATTATTTGTCCATAATTCATATCTAATTATAATAATTAACCATTTAATATTTATTTCACGTGAACAATTATGTTAATTTGATATAGAAGGTATCAATGTCGAGATTGTGCTAATCAATATGGTAAAAATATCAACATATAAATATTAATATCCACTAAGTTATTCGAAATACTTTTAGCTTTAATTCTAAATTGAATGAATGTCAACAACTATTCATTAATATTTTATTATTTTATCAATCAGTTTTATTTATGGATGTTAATTTTTTTTTTAATTTTAATATTCAAGATAAAACAAATCTCGTAGTGATATTATTTTATCAAAATTTTCATCCAGTCAAACATTAATATTTTTTTTTTAATTAATTATTTAAACTTTAGAAGTCACAGGAAGAGAGATGGAATATCTGTTTTGGTCCCGTGAAATTAGTGTAATATTATTCCAATGACATGGAATCTATTGGTAATGAGCAGTTTTTGCTTATATAATAAATCTATTTTTGTAATAATTCATGATTAATTCAAAATTGAGTAATTTTTAAAGTTATTCCATACATTCATAGTGAGAAATACTGAAAAAGGTTTACTTTAGTTTTGTAGAAGTGGATCGTTGACAAATAATTTTAGTAAACCGCAGATAAATAATTAGCAAGCCGCGAATTGCTCATCACTGTATTAAATGACAGCCGAATTGAATTTAATATGGAAATGTTACATCGATGCGATAATATATCAAATTAATAATTTTTAATGAATAATAATTAAATGATTTTCACGTAATATGCAGTTCATAATTTAAATTGCGTTTGAAACCAATTTCCGTAGATGAAAAAAAAAACGGATTATTTTTGTGCATTGAGAAAAATACAGTCATTCATTATTGATGGATGCATTGAAAGGGTAAAAATAATTTTAGTATTACATTTTTTAGAGTGCTACTTTAAATATGGTATAGTATCACTTCTTAATATATTTTTATATTGTGTACATGTAAATATATGTGTATATAAGAATATATACATGTATATAGATATCCGTCTACCAACACTCGGAAATAACCGCACACGGGACCACCACAATTCACTGCACCGCTCATGCATCAGTCCTGCACGAGCTCGTTCACTGCTCTGAGATATATACCAATATGATATACATATCTGCACATATCTCACTGTTATGTCTACGACGAAGATATATACATGTATATGAGCGTGATCGCGAATATCTCATTTATGTGTAAATTTTCTTTCTATCGAGACGTCAATACCATCTGCCTAGAAAATTAGCTTTATTTTTTTCTGACAATTTAACTAGCAATGCTATTTACTTTTAGACACAAATTCGCTGTTATTCTCAAGACATTAAATATCCATAATGACGATTATAAATATTAAAAATTAAAATATATTACACATGATTTTGTTTAAAATTGATAAAATATTGTCGTCGACTTGATTAATTCTCAAGATGCACTAGATTTTTTTTGGTTCACTTGTCTTCTTATTCTACAGCGAAATTGTGCCAAATAGCAAGAATGCAATCTCCTGAGACTCTGCCAAATCGAATGTCTCGTACGTTTATATATATCTATATATATATATAGCTTTTTTATCGATTAAATAATATCGAATACATAAACGAAATGATATGATTATTTGTGGTAAGCATTTTTTTTTTAAGTAGATTTACGTATTTTTCCAATTTGACTAAAGCGTACTTCTTTTTAAATTGAATTTTTTTTTATTAAATAGGAAATTAAATTTGTGTGTACATTCATATTCCAGCTGAGTAAATTATGAAGTAACATTATGTTTACATAAAAATAAAATATCTGTAGAATAGAGTATTTTTATTTTATATACTTTACCATTACTCTCTTCTTCAAATATTATTAATTCAAATATATAAAATGTGATTGTTGATTCAGATCTTTTTATGTTTAAAAAATTACATAAGGTATTTACATTACCATGACGCAAAAAATAGGAAGGTTTGAACTGCACAGATACGTTAAATATATAGTTAAAATTAATTACGATGAAAAGAAATGATTAAATATGCTCACTAAAAATGTATCAGTTTTGCAGTTATTTCCATTAATTCATTTTAAAAAAGAGAGATACCATTTTGGACGATGCTTCATTATAAAGTTTCTATATAGTTTAAATTATAATATTCTATATCAAGGATATGAGATTATATTTGTTTACTCCTCTCTGTAATTCATTTATAATCCGAAATTATATCAAAAAATGAAAAATGAAGAGAGATTGATAAAAAATTATTGATAAAGTTCTGAATAACTGATGGACGTGATGACATTTACATTATATCCAGGTTTATCATGCTATACTCTGATCCAAACACTGCAAATCGTAGTGTTTTATTTCAATACACTTAGAGTTACTGTCAATGCGCTTGGAAGTGTTTAAAAGGTGACTACAATGCTAATCTAATAGGTGACGTCATTTTAAAACACTTTAAGTGTATTGAAATAAAACACTTTTAAATTTGAGATTTCCAGTGAATCTGGCTTTAAATTATCTGAATAAAATCTCAATAGGGTTTATTAAACAATTTAAAATAGTCCTTAAAATAAATTTTAGATGATAGATTTTTTTTATTTATGATCTACTTACAATAAATAATAATTGTTCATTATTGTACATTTAAGACTTTTTTTGGTATATCGATAGACACTTTTTACACACATAATAGTGTGTGAAAAATCCTCACACATAGTAACTTTAATTTTTTTTTAAATTTTTGTTAAAAATATTTTCAATTTTTTATTTGTTTTTATAATAAAAGACCAGCAGTACTTTATCTTTACTTCAAAGCTCAATATTTGAATGATCCATCAATTTATTTATGAACTAAAAAGTATACAGTTTATCAGTTAATGGTCATGAATAAAAAACTGATATGAACATGCATATTACTTCTTTATAGATGTATAATATGTTAAATTAAAGTGAATTAGTGCCAAACTTTAAAACCTTTGAATAATATATAATCTCTAATAGGCTTAAAAGTTATCACTTTCATTCTTCATTCTGTTTGATAATTTTCAATAAGATAGATAGAGCTTTCCCACAACTATCTCTATTGATTGATTCAAGTGTAATTTAATGTTATTTCTTCTAAAAGCTAATCTCATCGGACCCTGATAGTTACATTTCATTATCACTAAAATACGTACCATAAAGTTCACACATTAATGCATAGTAGTGTTTGTTCATTGCAACAATGAGTACATAATAAATTCCAGGCTTATCATTATATTTATCTACGTCATGCAGAAGGTACGCTTGAGAATAAAACTAATGATATTAGTCTACAAAAACTATGTAAAGTCCAAAATTTAGAAATGACATAAACCAGTAAACCTTCTTATTTTGTTTAGGTAAATATAATTTAACTGATTCAGCGAAAAATGGTTAGTGTTTATTTCATTCAGCTGGAATAAAGAAAATAAAAAGATAATGAATGCAACAATAACGTAAATGTATGTAATTACATAAAGAATACAATAAATGCAATGTTGATAATCTAACAACTATTAACAAAATTAATAAAAGAAGTCTTTGACAACATCATAAATTCTTTGAGTTTTGACGTGATATAAATACTATTTTTATTATTTAGTGTACACAAAAGCAGTACGAGATATTCGTATATAGTGTGCTGATTAAAAAGCCCTGAAGCCATCAGAAGTTAGTAAATGCCTCTTAATTTCTACATGTATATATCGCTTCTTTCTATCCAATGTTCACATGAGCTTTTTGATGGAATGCCACCACTATTTCTGTATTGTTCTTTCAGTGCCACCTAAAATCACGCCTTTCAGTTTTGCTCGCGATTTAAACGTAGGCGATCGTACTAGCATACAGTGCGTTGTTGTGACTGGTGACCTGCCTCTAACATTTACATGGCTCAAAGATAACAAGCCCATTGAGACACAAGATGAAGATTCGAATGCCAGCACTTCTGGAAATGCCAAGAAATCAAATATTGGTGGACAAAAATTAGCATCTTCACGAGTTCACGGCTATGGCCAATCCCCTGAAGAAACAATCACCATACGTCAGTATGACGCTTTTAACAGTGCTCTGAGTGTTAGCACAATTACACCCGCACATAATGGCACGTATACCTGTCGCGTGACCAATGGTGCTGCAACCGTCGCTCATTCTACACTCCTTCTTGTCAACGGTAACGAACCGTTGGTGTCTATTACTCAGCACCAACTAAACACACACTGCTATCCTTTTCTTTTCGTCTATTTTTCTATCGTTATTCTCTAGTAGAAATTTTCCAGGCATATCTCACATTTTAAATTGTTCATTCAATCAATTTATATTTGATATCTCATTAGCTTTTAAGATTAGCTTTATATCCATTTTATTTGTATCAGTAAAAATTTAATTAAATGTCGTATAGTACAATTGAAGACACTGCCCAGAAGTTATAAAATAAAATGATGACATCAATATTAATATTAATAAGTCAAGTCATTCATTTTAATACAGTTGGATATTTATTTTTTGTAAATAGAACTTGGTTGAAAGTTTTGATTATGTTATGTACATATTTAGGTAAAGTGAATTGCATGGAGAACTATTTCGAAATATTTTCGATAATCGTATCGTTATTTATAATTATAGCTGTAATATAAAAAATATCATAGTTATGATTATGATAATACTTATAATACAAGCCCCTTGAACAAACAATTCTGTAATTGGAATCTTTATTGATCGAAGTTATCACTTTTGAATGCCGAATGAATTTAATTTTAAGGATATTGAACTCAACTTTGAAGAGTTCTTAAAGTTTAAAGATTATTTTAAAATTGAACTGGTCAGTGCCTTGATTTAATTTCTACTAGAGTAATTTCATTCTTCATCAGCTTCCTATTTCACTTATGAAACTTTGTACTTCCAATGTCTGCGATTGGGGTCTTTACTTTTTACATCATGATTGGTCTTTTGAAATTCTCATTTTTCTACAATTCCTATGCACGATATTTTAGATTAATTGAAGCATATCTCTGGTTTTATGTTTTTAAAATAATTAAGACAAGATTAAAGTAATTAAAAAGTCTCGTGAATTCGTAGAAAAATATTTTCACATGAATGGAAAATCCTTTTATGAAAGAATTATTCACAGTAACTATTTTTGTAATATCTGATTTTTATTAGACACATCCAATGTGTGATTGATCGACTAATAATTATAATGCTTACTTTTAGAGTAATAATGTTGAACAAAAAAAAAATAACTTCAAAAATTATTAAATTTATCAAAATGATTGATATCTATACATTTTTTAATGAGAAGATAATGTTATTATTAAATTTTAAAACTATCTTCAATTATTATCGAAGAGGAGCTTACACTGAGAGGAAATAATAACATTAAATCATTGTAAATTATTTGTGCAAACTAAAAAGATTTTTTTTGTAAAAGTCTTCGGTAGAATATTTTATTAATTGAAGTAACTTTTTATCTCTGTGTTTGTTCCTAAAACTTTTTAACTTCATTCTTATCGTACTAATTTCAAACAAATATTGTGGTTATTAAAGTAGAAAATAAACTATTATAAAGTTATTTCTTCTTCACAGTCTCATTACATTTCAAACTTTGAAAAGACAAATAATACTATTTACAATACAATTCAATTTAATAAATTTAGTGGAAGATCCATCTTCGAAAATATGTATATACGAAAATGTATAGAAAGAGTATACGTATATAAGCAATAATAAGTAATTTAATTTACAGGATAATTGTTCTCAACAATAGTTAATTGAATTTTCTGCTTTAATTAGTCTAATTGAATAACAATATTAGAAGATATATTGATGTATAATCATATTGAGATTACGTCATTGCATTAGATGACAAATATTGGCTTGTTAACATAAGGAATGAAATAAGTCAAATGAAAATGCCACCATTCAGATTAATACTTGTGACCCTTCAATACTCAGAAACCCCTCAATGTACATAAATACATGTAGATTTGTGAAGGATCAGTAATCGGTCCAAGTACTTTAGTACTCTCCTTCCTGTGAATGAAATCCATTATAACTAATTCTATTGGATTGATAATTAGAATCATTTTGACATAAGATAAATGTAATATACCAGATCAATTATTCATTAACTTTCTTAACAAATTGTTTCTGTTAAATTTAAATCTCTCCATCAAATATGTTATATCACATTAAATAATATACTTGTTTTAATTTCATTGCAAGTGAACCTTAACCGGTAACCATTAAAAAAATGCTATAAGTTAAACAGGGAATATTTTTCAACAAATGACAGATCAGTCATTACGTTAAAAAAATCAAGAAGTTTGGAAATTAGCTGATTTTTATCAGTTCACGTGTGGATTGAAAATAGATACATCTTTTTATCAAATTTTGATATATGAGTTGCTCGCACTCCGGTTAACTGTCAAATTTAAAATTAAACTGGAGGGAAGAAAATAGAAATATTTTAATCCGTGTCCAATCTCAAAAATCGTTTTTTTTTACAAATAATCTATTTTACATAAAATCTCTTTTTGAGTGGAAAATTAAACTCATTTTTTAATTTTGGAATTTCAAAATTATCAAATATTAAAAAAAAAACGACATTTTTTCCTATTTAACTATTAGATAATGAAAAAAACATTTGTAAAAGTAATCAAATAATAAATAAAATAAGAAAGATCGAGAACATCACATTTTAGATAAATTTCTTTTAATGGGTCACTGGTGTTTAATAGACGTTAGAAAGTTAAACCTGTTAAAAATATCAGAAAAACTCTACACTTTTTCGATGTCAATCATTGTAATAAGTTATGAAACATTCCATCATATACAGTTTGTAATTGTAGTAAATCATTTACTAATATTCAATTAGAATAGTTAAATAGCAGTATAAAATTACTTGGTAAGAAATGAGATATAATCCGATTTACAGATATTAAGGTTGTACAGATGGAAATATAATTTCAATGAGACCAAATACTTCCGGTTTAATTAAATATAAAATAGAAATTAGCTAATACTATTCTAACGTAAAGAGACATTTATTTAGATGCAATCAGAAGGAACCAGTTCGTATCCGATATAATTAAACTAAATAAAACCTATCCCAGATAGAAATAAAATCTACTTGAATGTAATGAAGTTGAATCCGTTGGTCAGATTAGATTTAATTATTTCTACTCAGTTCTTCTGATAGAAAAAGAATGAAAAAAAGTAACATGGTTATTTGTAAAGATCAAGTACATATAGAGCACATTTACTGTTAGCTTGAGTAATTTTTTTTTAAAGTACAAATAAACTTCTAGGCGTAAAAAAGTGCTATTTAGATTCTTATTAAAACTAGTTTAACCAAGGGATATTTGACAAGTATTAAAAATGAGCAAATGATGAAAAATTTATTTTAAATATTAAGAAAAAGCAATAATGAAAGTGAAAAGATTTTTTTCATTTGCGTAGAATAAAAATGTTTACATAATTTACAAATTAAAGTATTTAATTTAGTAGAATGGTGATAATTAATTGAGATAGCAAAAAATGAAACACTGTTTTGTCCAATTTTTAATTTTCTATCCCAAGTCGAAAAATTTAATCTTTTTTACGATTCCTTGATGAAGACTGAATTTTTCCTAAAGAATGTAGGTTCTACGACTGAGACCAATGAATATTTAAGAATGTTTAATTCTGCCATTTTAAATGATAAAAAAAAAGAATCTTCATTCCGTCTATTAATGTCTTTTAAACGAACAAAATCAAGTAAAATTGGTCAATGATGATTAAATTTGATTATTATGTACATATATTTATTTATTAATTGAACATAAATTAATCGTAATTTTCAATGATAATTAATTAATTAAATATTGAGAAGTTTGAATCTAATTAAAAAATAAAATTGTTATTGTTATTTTTATACTATTCATTCAGATTTTTCTCAAAAATTTTATTGTTTTTCTATATCATTCTTGCCGAATTCTCTTCTGATGTTACTACTCTTGGTCTTTACCTATTAAACAGATCTTTTACTCATCAAAAATATTGATAAAAAATCATGTAAAATATCATTTCCACTTCAATATTTCCAATTATCAATTTTAAACTTAAAACAGGCCACATTTTTTAATTTGAGTTTGAAAAATATTGTAATGGGTCTAATTTTCTGAATGAACAACTTCAACAATTTAAGGCTCCTAGAGTCTGATTTCATAACTATTAGAAAGACGTCTGTGTGTATAATTGTGGACTTCTTTTCATTCCTCCTATCTAAAAAACTTATTAAGTTTTTATTAAATTTAATTGAGTGGCTTTTTTTTATAAAAAAAAAATCTGCGAACAATTTGCGACATGAATTTTAGTAAACTTCTTTTCATCTCACGTATTTTAAAGACGAATAAAGATACCGACTTCGGACATTTTTCATTAAAAAAGTTATTTCATAATAAACACCCAAGAAATCCAGGTGAAAATCTATCTCGTGTAATTTAGTGTCTGTATACAAAATACATATAAAGTATAAAAGCTAACTTGGCACTAGCATAATACTCAACAAATTTCTACCAGGGTAGTTTTTATCAAATCTGATTTAGTATTTTGTTGTAATGTACATCCATTAAAAATCTCTAAGTAGATAATATGGACAAACCAAGTTGCATTTAGATCTATTTGTAATAATATTTTCCAGTATAATAATACCAAAGAGACTTACAGTTTTTTAAGTGTTTTTAAAAATGAGTTATTTGGGATTTAGTAAGGTGAAATGTATGTATAAGCTAAATATTTTATTTTCATTTAATTACATTTGTTCGGACTGTTATATAAATTAAATAAAATTCAGATATTACAAAATGTATCCTGCAAAGGAAGGTAAAATGAATATTTACAAAAAAATAGGCTTTAAATTTATTATGAATAACTCATGAGATATGACTTTAATTTATCAAACTCTTGATATATGATTTGTAAAAATACTTACTCTTTATCTGATGTGATGTATATTACATGTATGAATGGAACCAGCATGGTCTTTGCACGCCACTTTGCACGCTCTTAAAACTCTTCATCACTTTAGTGACAACGGTACACATCACACATCGCTCTTTATTATATATAACATTACGACATTCATCATATTTTACTCATTTGACATTAAATTATTTTGGAGCATTCCTACAA